TGGTTATCAATTATCTTAATTTACACATATATATTTTTTATTAATTAACTAATTAAGGAATTATTGTGTAGGGATATGGGATGACTGAAGCAGGGCCGGTGCTATCGATGTGCTTGGCATTCGCAAAGGAACCGTTGCCAAGCAAGTCAGGGTCATGCGGGACGGTGGTTAGAAATGCAGAGCTCAAGGTCATTGACGCTGAAACTGGTTGCTCCCTTGGCTACAACCAACCCGGCGAGATTTGCATCCGCGGCTCTCAAATCATGAAAGGTACGTACGTTCGTACTTACCTGAAGATTATAAAAATGTCTATTGATTGAACCATGCATATATATAATGTGTTAATTACGTACTCTACAAGGGTATTTGAATGATGCGGAGGCAACGGCAACGACGGTAGATAAGGAGGGGTGGCTTCACACTGGTGACGTGGGTTACGTGGATGATGATGAGGAGGTTTTTATTGTGGACAGAGTGAAGGAGCTCATCAAATTCAAAGGCTTTCAAGTACGTTATATATAATTAATACTTGATATAAATTCGAAATATAATTATATAATAAGTTAACCTCTTGGTCTTGGTGAATGATGTCAGGTGCCACCAGCTGAGCTGGAGTCCCTACTTGTGAGCCACCCATCCATTGCAGATGCAGCCGTTGTTCCGTAAGTACATATATACTTAAAGAGGCATGCAGATGCAGTAATGAATCAATTAATTAAGCTAATATTACAACAACATGCAGGCAAAAAGATGAGGCTGCTGGTGAAGTTCCTGTTGCATTTGTGGTTCGATCGAATGGTCTTCAACTTACTGAAGAGGCTGTAAAAGAATTTATAGCAAAACAGGTATATATATATATATGTATATACCTCTCTCTCTCTCTCTCTCTCTCTCTCTACGTAGTTCCTTTTAGATTAGAATATTGTTTGTTTGTGTGCCAAAGCAAAATTAATGAATGAAACTTTGAAACAGGTGGTGTTTTACAAGAGACTGCACAAGGTGTACTTCGTCCATGCCATTCCGAAGTCTCCCTCTGGAAAGATATTGAGAAAAGACCTGAGAGCCAAGCTAGCCACACCAACCCCATTGGCCTAATGGCCTTTCTATTATTAAGCAGACGTCGTGTACGTTTTTGTATATCAACCAATTCATGAACCGGTGCTTCTTTCTTTAAATAAAATCAAATTATTGCTTGTTCGCTGCAGTAAAGCAGGCATTATTATGATATTTTTCTTTGAATAATAATGCAAACAGCTCCAAGACTCATGCGCAGTTCCTTAATTTCCTTAATTGTAACAATTAATTCATCTTGTGGTCGTCTTTGTCTTTATTTTATTACTTAATTTAATTATATATGTTGTGCTCCTCCTCGGGCCTCCATCCTCTCTCTCTCTCTCTCTCTCAGAGTCAAGCTCTCCCTCCCACCTCATCTTACGTAGACCATAGACCTGAGAATATTGTCGACCAATCGAAAGTTCATTCGTAACCAACCAACCAAACGTTCGTAAGTTCGTATCATTCTATAATTGAGGGAGATATATGTTAACATCAAATCGAATTAACTGGATTGGACCAAAAAACTATCAACCTCTCGCTTCATTTGGTTTTTCTCACGAGTTGAAAGGTTGGTAGTTTGGACTTTTGGGTGCAGTCACGAGTCTGAAGAGAAGAGGTTCCGTTGACGAAAAAATAAAAACATAGAGCAACCCACAATAGTTATCTAATTATTTAGAATATTCCTTTTTATTTTTACTTTTAAAGAAAAAACAACTTATTAAAATTAAAATTCAGGCATCATTGCCGCAACCAACCATGATACAAGAGCAGCAAATTATTCTATTGGTTGATGAGACAGACAACAATATAGCAAAATGGTCCCTACTAAATTTTTTGATTTTTTATTTAAAATTCATAAATAAAATCTTATTTTATTTTTTAAATTTTTTGAAATTTTAATTATTTAAATAAATAAATATATTGTATTTCAAATACACGTGACACTGTATTATTAGAGATATGGGCTCTACATATGTGCCACATCAACAAACTAATGAAGTTTTTTAAAAATACTTTAACATTCATAAAATTTAAAAAATGAAAAAATCAAAATTATATGAATTTTAAAATTAAAATTTTATGAATTAAAGCTATTCCTCAATTCACCATGTGGCTGGGGAACGAGCCATCCAACTGGAGGACTAACTCTCAGCCAGCACATACAACCGAGACACTCAAAGCTTGTACGCCTGAAAAACCAGTCCTACGCGCGCAGACTACCCCAAATCCAGAGTCTACAGCAACATCCCATCAAAGATGTCTCGGGTTTCGACAATTCCAAGTATCTCAAGTATCAGTAACCAAGTTCCAAGTTCGGGGAGGTACATAGGATAGTGCTTAAAGCGCTCCAAACAGATATTTCAATACTCAACCCTTTCCACAAACTCATTTTAACAACCCAAGTACCCCACACATAGCCAAAGATATATAGAGATTC